TTGTGTTTCACCTGCCATGTGCCCGAATGCCATTGGCCCTCCATGTCCAGATGGCCTCCAGCTATCCTGGGCTTTGCCAACCGGGTTATGCTATGGGTCCCAAGTGATGGGTTTGGGGTGGTTTGCTGCGGGCCGTAAGTGTTGTGGGCCTATCCATGTCAGTAGTCCCTCATTTCCGAATGCAGCTTTAGCCCAACGAAGGGAATAGTAATAAGGAAGAGAGGTGCGAACCGAGTGGAGAGGCCGACCGTTAGGCGTGCCGACCGCAAGGGTGGCCGAGCGGGAGAAGCTGACCGTGAGGGTAGCCGAGCGGGAGGGGTCGACCGTGAGGCATGCCGACCGCAAGGGTGGCCGAGCGGGAGGGGTCAACCGTGAGGCGTGTCGACCGCAAGGGTGGCCGAGTGGGAGGGGTCGACCGTAAGGCGTACCTAACCCCTCTGAGCCTGACCTGCGAAAGGACCTGCAAAAGGTGCTGGAACAGGTGTTGTGTCTCTGCCATTTGTAGGAAAACCCTCCAACCCCCCGGGTGTAAATTCGAATAAGGGATTAGGTTCCTGCTCAACTCCCAGCTCTGTACCCTCGTTTGGAGGACCATTTCCTTCTCTACGAAGGAAGGCTTGATTGGGGAACTTGGAGGGTAAACCGTTCTCATCGTTGCTGGCCGACATTGAGGACTGAATGGGAGGAATGGTATGATAGAGTGGTGCCTGCGAGAGAAGATGACCTGCAAGAGCTTTATATTCTCGATGCCCTTCGACTTTCCAGGTTCATTATTCCTGAAGACCCCTTTTTGATTCCTACTGCCTTATGTTTTTGGAATATGGCTTTCAATTTCTTCCAGTTTCGGTGTGGTATGATGGCCCCCACCGTTCTTGATATTTGCCATCTCCTAGGGCTTTCACCCCATGGTTCTCTTTTTACTCCCAACTATCCAGACCTTCCTGTCAAATTTTCTCTCCCAGCCCTAAACTCTTCTTATAGTGACTTCGTAAAGGCTGAAAATAAGAGAGAAGGTCCTGTGCGGGACAGAGAATTCTTCTCCTTCATATTATACTGGTTATGCAGATTCCTCTTTTGCACCTCATCTCAGAGGATTATGCCTGAGTTTGCTCCACTTGCGAAGGCACTCGTCTTGAAGAAACATATCGCTCTTGCTCCTTATCTTCTAGGTCATGTCTACAGAGCCTGCTCCCAATTTTGCGAAAAACCCCTCGATGCTAACCAAGGAGGTCCCCTCTGGGTGCTCCAACTCTGGCTCTTTGCTTATTTCACTGACCTACATCCCAAGTGTTTAGGATTCCTTGTTCAGGATCCTAGTACTTACGGGGAAAAATATGCCAGGATTGCCCTTTACCCTGCTTCCTTTGCTTATTACTTTACCTTCTTTTATCAACTTCCTATCTCTCCATCTGCTTCCTTCTTTTGTCCTTTCGAAGCCAATAGAGGGCCAACCTGGCTACAATCTTTTCTGGCTGATAAGGAATGTTCCACTTCTCCCCACAAAGATATGTGGGCCTCTATATTATTACCAAGGGAGCTGTTCATTGGCACTCTGAACCCTCGAGCCTATAAATGCATATCTGAGGTATACTGCCCTTCTCAATTTGCAAGGCAATTTGGGCTCTCTCAAGGGATACCTGTTCCTCTTTGCAGTCTTTCAAATGTCCATCTCACTGCCAGGGATTTGAGAATACCCAAATCCAAGCCAGAGGCAGCAGTACTCAGACTGCTGAAGGAATTGAGTGAATTCCAATTTATCCCCTTTCGCCCCTTTGGCTCAGTTTTAAAAAGGTTTAAGAACTGGTGGACAGCCAATATGGAAGTGCGCCTCTCTGCACACCCTCATGACTTGTTGGTGGGGTTGGGATTGCCTTCGAAGGATAAGTCAACAACAGCCCAGAACACTTCTCCCCCTCCTGAAGTTGTCACCACCACTCCTGCCACTTTACCCCTTCCAGCCAGGGTTACTAGAGCTGCTTCGAAGAAGGGTGAGTATCTTCAAGTTCTTCTCCTCTTTTATTTCTGAATCTTTTGTTGGTTTTCTTATACTCATGTTTTTGGTGTAGGGTCTCCACAAGAAGAGTCTCCCAAGAGAGCCGAGACTTTAGCTATTCTCAAGAAGAAACAACAACAAAAAACAAAAAGGAGACTAGTCCTTCCTCCTGAAGTACCTGAATCTCTTGAAGAAGAAAGAGAGGTTGAGCCAGAGAAAGAAGTGCCCTTACAAAGAACAAAGAGACAAAAGGTAACTGTATCTTCATCTGATGCCATTGAAAATCCTGTTAGCGAGGCAACCACCATAATAGCGGAGAAAGAACTTATCTCTGGAGAGTCTGAACCCCGATCTGAAGAAGGGGAGGTTGGAAAAGAATTGGTTATATCTCTGCCAAGGGAGAAGAGAAAGAAAATGACTGTTCCTGTCACTGACCATGTTGAGGACTCTACTCATAAAGCAGCTGCCAAGGCAGTCGAACAGGAACATTCCAAGGCAATCGTTGTATTTGAGAGAGCCAAGAAAAGATGGCAAGAGCAAATGCTAAGAGAGGAAGCTGCTACTGCCGATGCAACACAAGGGGAAATGGTAAGAAGGCAGCAGACTGCTGGACATTACTCTCTCCGCAGTTCTCCCATCAGTACTAGCGCCTCTGGAACAAGTAATTTCTTTCATACCTCTGCTGTTTTTTACTTTGTCAGCTTGTGGTATTGAAGTTTAACATTGTTCTGCATTTCTTCCTTTTGCAGCGACAACTACTGCACTCACCTTTCCAATGAGACCTTCCTCAATTTCGGTTGAGGTTGACCAAATGCAGAATGTCAGGGTTGTTCGAGTCGTGCTTCCAATTCAAAAGCCTATATTTGTCGTACCTTCTTTAAACTCCAGTATTCCTGCATCTCCTTTTCTTGGATTAAAGCCATACCTCCCTTTTTTGGCTCTTGACCTACCTCAGTCTACTTTTCCTTCGAGCCTTGCTCTTTTTTCGTCCTTTATAGAAACTCCAACTGTTACTCCATTCCCAATGGCAGTTGATTCTTCCACAGAGGACACTGGTAGCCCTTCAATTCATGGTTCATCACCAATGCCCACTTCTAGTCCCTCTTCTCTTGATTTGCTGGTGGCCAAGACCATAGAGGCTGCCAAAGATGCTCCATCCGTTTCTCCCATCCCTATGCAGCCCTTTGCGTCTTCCACCACAACACTCTCTATGCCCTTAATGTCAAGGGATGAGGTAGACATTTTTGAAGGAAGACTAGCTAGTCTCTTTGACATACCTTCTACCTCTCCCACCTCTACTGCTGAAGCTGAGCCATTAGCCTTGGCTAACTCCTTATTGGAAATCTTCGAGAGTTCTCCTTCCTCCAGTAACAAGCCTTTTGTACCTCCAGTAGATTTGGACACATGCTTGCAACTGCTGACTTCCTTTTCAAGGATCCCCTTCGAGGCTCTACAAAGGCCTATCATCAGGAATAGGTTCCTTCAATGCTGTAACATTGCTGAGCAGTCTGCCATGAGTGTCTCAAGTCATTTATCTCAGGCTGCAGCTACTATTGATTTTTATCTCAACATTTGCCATGCTGCTAAGGCTGCGGATGATAAGCTGGCTAAGGACCAGAGTTTTGTTTCTCAAGTGCATACCGAAGTATCATCTCTGAAAGAACAACACTCTTCTGCCTCCCACTTTCGAGTCCAACTTCTGGAGAAGAAAGCTCAGCTCGAAGAGGAGTTAGCCGCGGTAAACCAAGCCTTGGTTCGAACTGATAAGAAACTGCACATCACCAATCAAGGGCTGGCTAATCGAAAAGAAGACATGGCTGCGGCTATTCAATTATTTCCTTCTCTTAGCAATAGGAAAGCTATTGTACAAAAACAACTAAAGCATTGTAATGATTTTTGGGCCAATTTGTGGCACGATGTACTTAATTCTTTATGAAAGCACAATATTTTGAATATTACTTGAACAAGCTTGTATTTTTGCATATGGTGTTTCACTCTATCCCTTGTGTTTCCCAAATGGTTGGAAAATAAGGTTTTAAATATCTGCCATTAATTTTTTTGGGATGTACATAACCATTCAAATTTCTTAAATGGTATGCTCCAAAAGGCAGAACCCTATGAATTTGATATGGTCCCTCCCAATTAGGTGACCATTTGCCAAACTTATGGCTTTTAATCCCAATTGGGAGTATTGTCTTCCATACCAAATCACCTTCATCAAAGCCAATGTGTTTGACTTTCTTATTATAATTCTCGGCTGCTTTCTTCTTTTGGAAAAGAATGCTATTTAATGCCAAAATTCTGGCTTCATCTATGCCTTCTAATTCTAAGCACATACTTTGATGGTATTGTTCAGGATTCAACTGATCTTGACATCTTACTCTCAAAGTTTTAACATTAATCTCTACTGGTAAGACTGCATCATGTCCATACACCAAGGCATAGGGAGTGACTCCTACCTTGGTGAGGTTCTATATGCCCACAGAACATCCAACAATAGGTTATGCCAATCCCTGGGATTGTCATCCACAACCTTTTGTATTCCTTTTTTCAAGGACTTATTGGATGACTCAGCTTGACCATTAGCTTGTGCATAATAGGGTGTGGAATTAACAAGACTAATTCCAAATTCTGCCTGTCATCTTTCATCAGTATACTGAGTGGTGTCACTCCCTCAATATACAATTTAGCCTCCGCAAAGTCTGCACAGGCTATGAAGGGTTGAGGATCTACATCGATTTCCTCTGTCTCTCCATTGCCTAAAGCCATTATGATTTTCTGGTGTAAAGAAGAAGGCACACATTTGTTAGTGTGGATCTAGTCCCTTCCAAGCAAAGCATTATATTTAGCATTACTGTCGATCATGAAGAATGCTGTCATACAATCCCTGGTTCCCACACTTAAATTAATGGGTAGAATCCCCTGAGCCATTTGCTTATCTCCAGCAAAACCAGCGATGGTTGTGCTGGTTGGTATCAACCTAGGATTCTTTTTTCCTAGTTTCTTCAAAGAAGATTTCGGCAACAAGTTTACTGCTGCCCCATTGTCTATTAGGACTCGATTCAGTTGTATCCCATCGAAGAAAGCCTTGATGTACAAAGGCTTAACATGTTGTGTCATGGAATTCGAGGGATACTCGAATGGATACGATAGGTTGATGCTTACCACTTCTTCGCTCTCATATTCATCTTCCATCAGGGTAACCATTTCGAGATTATCTTGCACCATACTTGCTTGTGAGTCTTCACTAGAGATCTGAACTGGATCAGCTTCCTGTCCCTCTTGATTCTCATCTCCAGCTTGGAATTCCTGTGGTAGTATGTGTACCATGTTCACTGATACTGGGGGAAACGTGCCAAACTGGATGGCTGGCTGTACTTGTTCCCCCTCTTGGTTACTATGGTTGACTCCCTCAGAAACATCCTGCATGATGCATTCTAGTATTTTATTGCTAACTGATCCCTTCAAAGGATCTTTCTCAACTGGCTCTTCAGTCAGAAACGTTTGCTCAGCCATGAAGGCTTCGAACATCTCTTCCTCCACGACCTCTTTATTCTGGCTTATGCTAATCTCTTCTTCGGTCTCGCTATCTGTCTCCATCAGAGCTTTCTCCAACCCTACCAAACTAGCCTTCTCTCTGGTTTTCAGTTCAGAATGAACCTTGGCCAACTGTTCTCGGCTGCAGACCACTTTGCTCTGTGGAACCGGCTTTGGAGCATGGTCTGACTTTGGGTTCTTCCTTCCTTCCGTTTTGACTGATGAAGAATTTTCTCCACTTTCCTTCAGATCTTTCTGGTACTGGGTGTACCTGCGCTGAATTTTTCTCCTCTGTGATCTTGAGATGACTGGGACCATGTCTGGTTCCCTCGTCTTTGGGTGTTTAAGCAACACCCAGTTATTCAGAGCCACCATAGGAGGCCTGATCATCCTGCCTTGGTTTACAACATCTCCTCGAACAGGCAATTCTCTAGGTTTGTTTTGCATTACAAACCAGTCTGGGACTCCAGGTACCCATGAACTTGCTGATTCAGACGCTGAACTACCCTTTTCCACCTTCGAAGCCATCTTCGAAACTGGCCGTGGAGGTAAGTGCTTGGTTTTGTCCTCATGTTTTGAATCTGATTCAGTCCTTCGATAAGGGTGACCATTTTCTGTCCTGCGTGAAACTGGTCTAGGGAGCCAATCTCTGGTTTTGATTCCATGAACTGAACCCCTCTCCAGTTTTCTTTCAGAATGGCTACTCTCCATTCTATAATAGTTATGTGGCCTGGATTCATGCAAGAGCTTCTTGCCTTTGTCATGCATTCTGTTCACCACAGGCTCAACCACTGGTGGTCTCTGCCTATCACTAGCCGGATACGGCCTTTTGTTGTAAGCATTGGTTGACTTAGGATGTCTCTGAACATCCCTGTAGTATTGCTTCCTATCAATTGGAAGCCCCTTCAGCCACTTGTAACTGAGTCTGCACCTGGGGCACATTCTCTGCATCACCGCTGCTTCCAAGGAGTTGTCATCTAGTGTTTCTTCGTCAGATTGCTCCTCCAGATGTGAGAAACCTTGTCCAATAGCTGGTGGGTTTCTAGCCTCCTTCTTAGCAGTTATCTGGTTGGCAGTATGCATTTGCACGTTGACCTCTTCCAACTCTTGCAGAGATAGATTCTGGAAGTTTGGTACAACCACATTAGCATGACATTGGCTGCTGCCTCTCCAACTTCTGGAAAGGGATCACTGTCAATTCCCATGGCTTTTTCTGTTTTAGCTGAGAACTTCAAACTTCCCTTTCGAATCTGTTCTTGGATCCTGTCTCGAAAAACAATGCAGTTTTTAGTCGAGTGAGACCAAGAATTATGCCATTTACAGTATACTTTTCCTTTCAGTTCATCTGGAGATGGTAGTTTTACTCCTTTTGGTAACTTAAGGAAATTACCGCGAGCAAATAATCAAAGATGTCATCTGCTTTTGTTAAATCGAAAGAATATTTTCTGTGAAAATCTTTCTTTTTAAACTGCTGGTCTATAGTTGTATCCTTATGAATTAATGCTTCACAAATTACAGGTTCTTTGCCTACAATCTCTGCTGCATCTATTTCATAATTAGGATCTCTATAATATGTCTTATATGATGCATTATTTCGATCTTGTTCCTCTTCTAATAATGCTTCATATCGAGACACCTTATAGGTCAATTCGACCAAATCTCTGAATTCAGTTGAATCAAACTTCTTTCGAAGCCTGAATTCTAAACCATTTTGAGCCAATCTGACGAATTCTGGCTCCGGCAGGATGACTCTACATTTATTTCGAGCCCTTTTAAATCTGGCAATAAACTGAGTAGCCTTTTCTTCAGGCCTTTGACTCAACCTAGCCAAATCTGCCATAGATACTTCTGGCTCTGATTGGAAGAATTGGGCATGAAACGCCTCTTCCATCTGTTGCCAATTTTGAATGGAGCCAGGTGAAAGGTTAATGTACCATACAAATGCTCCCCCCGTTAGGGAATTTGGAAATAATCTCAGTTTCATATAGTCATGGTTAGTAAATTCACCGCATTGAGCAGCAAACCTAGCAATATGTTCTATCGTTGATTGATTTCCAGTCCCATAAAAAAGGGTAAAATCTGGTATCCTAAATCCCCTTGGGTATTCATATACCCTATCCACCCATTCTGGGAATGGTTTTCTGTATATAGGAGTCGGGACCCCCCGAGCCATTGGTCCACATATCTCCCTAACAATATCAGCAATCTGGTCTCTAGGGACCATACCCCCCCTTAGCCCCTTTTCCCCCCCCCCCCCCCCCCCCCCCACCATTACCCACCACCACCAGCTACCCACCACCCACTGTCACCACTTTCCACCACCGTCTTCCACCACCACTTGTCATTTCTCACTCTTTTTTATATTTTTAAATTTTTTTTAAATATTTTGTCAATTACCAAACGTGTTTGTAGTTTATGTTTTTCTAAAAATAAACAAAAATCAATTTATAAATTTTTTTTAAATATAAACTGAAAACGTAAACGTTACCAAACAAACCCTAAGTGATTCAATCATATTATTTTAATTTTGGTTTAAAAAATAGAATTGATTTAAAAAAATTAAATTAAAAAAAATATTTTCACATTTTTAAAATAAATTTTGACCTTTTCCTTTCTAGGGGCGGAGCCGAGACTTCTCTCCTAAGGGGTCAGATTGCGTAAAAATAATATAAAATAAAAATAATAATAATGCATAAGGCAGATCCTATCAGGCTGTCAATATATTGGGTCCAGTTTTATTTGATTAAATCATTATTAAATATTACTTAATAGATACTGATTGAACTAATAAAAAATATAAGGGATTAGTCTCAATTAAACATTATTTGTATAATTTTTATGGTTAAATGAATCAAATATATGAATTTATAAATTGTTGGCTTTTTGGCTTTTCGAAGGGTAATTCTGTAAATGTGAGCGTGTCAGCAAGGATCAATCAGTCCTTACAGAAATTATGATTGCCAACCAATTATCAGACGATTGTGTTTTAGTTCTTTTCAGCCTCAATGAAGAGGACTTTTACTGGTGGCTTGACTTAGGAGAAATTAAGAGAAATAACAGTAATATGAAGAACAATTGAAGTATTTCATAAAAATGAACACTTACAATGGTCCGAACTCAGCCTCGGAGAGGTTTACAACAGCAATCTACTTGAATCTACTTGAAGCTACTCCTATGAATCGAAGTGCAGTGCGAGTATTTAAAGTGCAGGTATTTAAAGAACAGGTATTTAAAGACTGGAAAAGAAAATATGTGAAGTAAATGACTAATTCGTATGATCTGAGTCCGTCCTTTTTTCTGGGGGCTGCCCTACTATTTATACTCGTCAGTGATGACCTTCGAACTGCACTTCGAACCGTCGAACTGCTCCTCCATGATCGCTGATCATGCTTCCTTACAAGTAGCTCCATTACGCCATTACTGGCAGTTGAGCTTCCTTCTTGTACTTGAATTTGAATATGAG